TCCGAGGACTCTGGGAACACTAAACAACTTACTGCATCAAAAACCTTACAATGCAGTCTGGAGGCCATTTAGAGCTCAAAGATATCGTGCACTTACTTATTTTACTTTTATTAATATAATTGTTATTGCTATAGAAGATGAAAGCACTTTGTTAATAGTGTGACATTTTTGACTTTTTGAAGCGCATAATTATTTATTTTAGAGATTGTCTGTCTAACCCTTCTCTGAGTGTTTGGGAAACATTCCAATAACTTTTCAATCCCCAGGAATTTTCTTGTTCGAATATACTTGTTTTTACATGGTCTCAAAGGTTAAGACTATTTTGAAAATCATTAGCAGGTTTTTCAAGTTTTGCTTATTTCCAGTGTTCTAAGGGGATCACCAGACTTCCAAATATTTGAATCCTAACTGCATGTCAGCAAAGCGACTCCTTTTTGGAAAAGGAAAAATACACCAACTCCTTGGATATTGTTGAATAACGGCCAACTGGGTGAGAGTTGGTCATTGGTTGCCAAACAATTCCCATAGATGTTTTGTTAATACTGGGGTATCTCCAAGTCAAAGGTCATGTAGAGAATGTCCAAGATACAGATGTCTCAGTTCCCGGTGGGACCACAGCTCCATTTGACAGCATAATAGCAAGCCCAGTTGAACAAATTAACTACTTTGTTCATCAACACTAAACAACCTATGTCACCTTTCTTGTTGAATTAGTAAGTTATAACAAAACACAAATGAAATGTGTTTCCTGTTGGTGAGGCGATATTCTATTTATTGAGAAAACGAAGATAAAGTAGACATTGTTTTTGTCCTGAGGAAATTTAAAGCTATGTTGGAGAACTCTGCTGTCTTCCCACGGAAAATCTCGACCTCCCGAAGCTGAGGAATTTTTTGTATACTGCGAGAACTAGATATTATTTTGGGCTTTAGAGTGGCTAGATCACTAAACTTTATCCCTAGAATGTGTTATTAATGAGGTTTTGAACTGAACCAGTGTGATGGTGCAGTTATACCGTCTGGCAAAGGGACTGCTTTCTGAGATCCACACTGGTTTTTATAACAAGTCAAAGAATTAAGCAATTATTGGTTTCAGAACCAAGGATGGAGACTGAGGGAAACATGTTCTATACATATCACTGTAACTACTGAAATCTGTTCAGGGTCTTCCTATCCCCTTTCCAGCTCTACCCTGAGCATTCGAAAAATCTGGATTTGAAAGGAAAATCTCAGTATTTGGATTTCTTCCATATTTGTCAAATTTTAGCAGACTCTGAGAATTTACTGAGGTTCTTCATATGTTTTATGGCATCTGAGCATATAGTGAGATGTATATATATGCATATATATACATATACATATATATGCATATATATAGTGATATATATACATATATGTGCACACACACACACACACACAGTTCACAGGAAGCTGGAATGCTGCCAGAGTGATGGTCACATCTATGGCATCTGCTTATTCTACCTTCTGTGCCCATTTTCCAAGTTGGACTGTGTGAGTGGCACAGCCTAATAGGATTTGGAGGCTTTATTGATGTACAAGATAAGGGACAAATCCTGTTTAGTTTTCAAAATTCCTAAATGGTGATACAATACTAACAACTCTGTATTGACTTATTGCTGTGCATTGGGTCTGTTCTTCTGTTGCCTCAAATCTTCAGAGTAGTCTTCAAAGTTGGTGATATTACTGCCAATGACAGATGTAGAAACTAGTGCTTAGGGAGGAAAAATAATTTGCCAAAAATTATACAGCTAATAAATTGCATCTATTTGGCTTTAAATTACACGTTCTTTCTTCCATAGCCTTCTGGTTCCCCAGGGAGCACTTTAGGTATTGAGCTTATGACTATTTATATTTGTTCATTCATTCTTGTTTCCTAGCCCGTCCCTCACCTTTTCCATTCACAGGCATACTTTCTAAATCTGCTAGGTTCAAAGTGCTGTGTGAAGCATTCTGGTAAGTAAAACTATAAACATGACCCAGTTGCTGTTCTCAAGAAGTTCTAAATTTAGTCTGAAGATCACAGACACAAGCGTGTGCGCATACACACACACACACACAAAATACTGCCCATGCTGTGACCACTGCTATAAGAAGAGCATGGCAGGCAGATTTCTGAAAAAAATTAAGATATATATATGGGAAAGCGATACTTTTTTTTTTTTTTTTAATTTTTTTTTCAACGTTTATTTATTTTTGGGACAGAGAGAGTCAGAGCATGGACGGGGGAAGGGCAGAGAGAGAGGGAGACACAGAATGCAGGCTCAGGCTCAGGCTCTGAGCCATCAGCCCCCAGAGCCCGAGCCTTGGCAGGGGCTCGAACTCCTGAACACATAAGATCGTGACCTGGCTGAAGTCGGACGCTTAACCGACTGCGCCACCCAGGCGCCCCTGAAAGGCATTACTTTTATATGAGAGGATCACATAAGTCCTGAAATTAGAGGAATTCTATCCGACTGAATTCTTGAGCCTCCTTGAAAAGAACACACTAGAGATAAAAGCCTCAGGGGATGTTGGCATACTGATTCTCCGCTGTTTCTCCTTGTGGCAAAGCTCCTGCCCCACATGCCCACTCAAGTGTACTCCAGCTCTTGATGTTGGTTTATTTGAAATAACCCAGGCTAAAGGCCATGTACAGTTCCTAGAGTTCTAGCTGAACACGGCGGCCACGATGAATAGTGATAGAATGTCTGTTAGTCCAATTAGAATGGAAAATAGATACTGTCAGCTATTACTGCCTGATGAACAACCACAAAATCTCAGTGCCGTGCATTGATAAACATCTCCTTCAGGTCAGCTGGGGGCCTGCAGGGCCAGCCTGCATCCAGCTGGAAGGCTGTGCCCAAGCTGTGGGTACTGCTGCACTTGGGTGGAAACTACCCAAGGGTGCTCTATTGCTGGCCCCAGCAGTGGTGCAGATACATTTCAAGGCCCTGGTTCAATCATGTTGGGCAAAACCAATCATGCTACTGAGCCCAACTCAAGGACAGGAGGGGAGATGAGAGTGAATAGCTCTGATGAGAAACCTAATCTATCATGTATACAGTGAAGGAGAGGGAAAGGAGATAAAATCATAAGGCAGGTGGTCTAGAGAGGAGAAAAGTCTAAACACACCTGAAGATGGTAATGAGCTGTCAGATTCTTTTTAACAGTTGATAGTGAGACATCTTAAAAGATTATGTAGCATACCCCAGAAACTTGCACATAATGGATTATAGGGAGAGATGGGAGGTCAGGGAGCAATTGCAGAGCTCCTATGATGATGAAGGGCTAAAATGGGGAGATGACAATTAGGAAGTAAGGGAGTGGAAGATGTGAAGGGTATTTCTAAGTCCTTGCTGGATGTAAGGGAAGGGCGGAGGAGCTCAAGGTGGTGATTCTACCGAAGCCATTAGAAGACACAGGAGGATAATCAGAGCTGAAGGGGGGCAGGGAGGGCTTGACGCTAGATACCATGGGGGAGGGTGGTGCTTTGACAGAAATGGAGTAGTTACGTGGGGGCAGGCCAAGGGGGCAGAGATTGATGACCCAGTGACCACTGCTGAGTAGGAGCAGTCCTGACACACAGAGCTGTGAGGACAGATGGCAGGGAGAGTGACTGTGTCCCCATGGCAGTGGTTCAGAACCCAGGATGGGGAAGAGGTAGGAATGGGATTCAGGACCCGGGGTGGTCACCTGGTGACCTTCTGAGTCCACAACTGTGTGGCTTCAGGAAATGCTGACACATGGTGGGTGTCACTCTTAAACGTTTGCTGGTGCAATGGTGGAACACTGGAGGGGGGCAGGGGGCCAGTTCTGATTGTTATTAGTATCGCTGTGTTTGCATGGGTGTCCTTTGAACATTGATTGCTATGATGAGAGAGTGACAGCGGGTAGTTTGTAGATATCGAAATTTGGGGGTCTTCTCTGCAGACAGATGAGTGACTTTCTATCCAGTAGCTATTCTATTTTTTTTAAGTTTATTTATTTATTTTGAGAGAGGGAGAGAGAGCAAGAGAGAGAGTGAGTGCACAGGGTAGGGACATACAGAGAGGGAGACAGAGAATCCCAAGCAGGCTCTGCACTGTCAATGCAGAGCCAGATGCAGGGCTTAAACTCAGGAACCATGAGATCATGACCTGAGCCAAAATAAAAAAATCAGACCCTTAACCCACTGAGCCACCCAGGTGCCCCCTCCATTAGGTATTGTGAGACCTGGCTTTGATCTCAGGTAGTCTAGTTTTTGTCCTAGTAAATTAGCTGACTTCTAACTTTAATTCTACTAAATTTTCAAGTCTCCTGTTCATACACATCAATATATTGACCCAGAACATTTTTGCAGATGGTCACTGATGTTAATTGTGAAATTGGCAGGAACAGTGGATGACTGCTGGGGTGGCCTGGGTCTGCCATTCCCCTGCTTCCCCATCGCTGTGCTTATGTGTTTGCTGGTGACATGGGGGTGCGTGTGGAGTTTACCATAAACACAGTAATTTTAAATTGTAGAGAAAGATGCCCTGTAATTGACAATAACCAACTCTCTGAGCTTTTGTGAATGGAGACAAATGCAAGTATTTATATCTGATAGTTGGGAGGACACATCACTTCTGAAATAAGCCAGTTTTAAAAGAATACTGCTTTTCACTGTGCTGCTGTATGCAGTGTGGTTCCTTTTTGTCCTGCTACATTTCATGTCGCTTTGGATATTACCCTAGTTTTCTATCGCCCTGTTCCCTTTATCCCCACATTTCGGTTTGTGGCCCCAGTACAGTGTTGTGTGCGTAACACACACACGCGTGAGTTCTGTCGCCCTGATGACAGGAGAAGTGTATCTAACGTGATCAGTCACACATGGCTGTTTTCTTAAGTTCTGTGATTTCGTGCAGCCTTGGACCTAAACAGATTTTAGAGTCTTTCGCGTACTCTCGGATGGAGGACAAGGCGAACCTTACTTGACATTTTAAAGCTTGCGCGTTCTGGTCTGTTTCTGCCTTGCTCCCACATAGAGCTGTGACCTGGACCAGCAGAGCATCGTTCATGTTGTGCTGAGACCCTGGAGAAAAGGCCCAGAAAGGGAAGGAGGTGACGGCCCACAAAACGCCCTGGAGGGCTCGAGGAGAGAGCCTGAGAGCTTGACCCGTGTGGACCTCAGCAGCTCGGTCCTCCCTGCGCACTCGGTGGGTCTGGCTGTGATCCTGAATAATGACCGTGAGGAGACCCTGCCAGCTGGAAGGCCAGGTAATTGTACAGACTCAGTCTGTGGCTAGTAGAGCACTTTGTGTAGCAGGTCTCCACAGAGAAGGGCCTCAACACGTGCATAGTTGGTTCATGGTAAGTTCTAGATTACTGGAGGGAGACATCGCTGGGAGGACGGTACTTGGCCATAAAATTTGAGATGAATACATTTAATAAATGCAATAAAACAGGGTTTTCAGGTTGAGAATGAAGGTGAGGGATGGAGGAGACGTCAGGACCATGATAATAGCGTTTTACTTTATTTTTATTTATTTTGAGAAACTAGGAGTGGGGTGGAAATGTGATGTATTGTGCTTGGGTCAGAATATGTGATGAAGGTGCATGTATGTCCTTCTCAACGTTTGCCTCCCTTTTCTATTTCTTATTTCCCTAAAATACATTTTGGTTTATTATGTTTCTGATGATGTAGAGAAATTTTAAAAAGCAGAAAGAGAAGTATAGAGGCAATTCTAGTCATTTGCAGGTGCCAAGGCAACCCATTACGATGTCAATAACACCCTTTGTGTGAAAGGGTGTTCCTTCTGTCTACGTAGCAACCCATTTCAAAAGTGCTTTTATTTAGCAAGGATGACAATTCCTTTGTTATTTTGACAATATTAATGTGTCTCCCTTAGTCCTCTGTTTTCCAATCTAAATAGTCAAAGGTATATCAGGATTATTTTTGACTATGTGTGACAGAAAACACAAAATGATAACTGATTTTATAAGTTATATGTGCATTTCTCTCTCACGTACAATGAGTGAGGACATAGGCAGTTCGAGGCCGTTGTGGATTTCACAGTGTCACAGAGTTCAGGAACTAGCAAGGTGGAGGCTTAAAATAATATGAAATGTCTCCTGCTAATTTCACTAAGTAAAATTTAACGAACTTTAAAAAATCATAGATGAGATTATAAAAAGAAAAAATTTCCAAGGACAAGTGAAAAAGTAGACATAGCAGTTATCTTTGTATAGAGGAATGGATAAACCCAGAATTTAGGTGCATGAGCTGATACCCTGGTGGCCTTCAGGAGGTTGTTCAGGGGAGGAAGGCTGTCCTTTACATACACTGAGCACTTAGCAGAATGAAAAAATATATATATGTGGAGGAAACTGAGATACATCTAAACCTTTGCAGTTCCTGTGTGATCCAGAATGGGAAGTTAATATAAGTATCAGACTCAGATTTATGGTGTGCGTGATGTATATGATTGGTTTCCCCTAAAACTTGAGAAAATAAAACAACAATTTGAAACAAAACACAAAACACATACATGCTATGTTAATTAAAGCATACAAAAAATAGAAACCTAAATCAGAAAACAAACATAATAGAAATATATAGCTATTAAATAAAACATAATTTTAGCTACTGGAATTAAAAAAAAATCCTCAGTGGATGGGTTAAAACAGCAAGTTCGTCAATGCCAAAGAGAATTTGTGAACTGCAAGATAGATATGAAGGAATTTTTCCATAATGTGGTATAGATTAAAAGGTAAAACAATGCTTTTCAGAGACTAGGGGTTTAGAACGAGATGGCTAAACATATTTCTGATAGAAATTTCATTATAGGAGAATACAGAATGGAAGAGAGACAGTTTAATAAGAGAATGACTGAGAATCCTGATTCAAGAGTACACGGTCCCAAGCATGATAAAACAAAACAAAGCAAAAACAAACAAACAGACAAAAAAACCTCCACTCAGTTGGTCTTAATCAAGATAAACAAAAATAAATTCACTTTATAAAGAAAGTAAAAGACTGGGGGCACCTGGTGGCTCAGTCGGTTAAGCATCTGACTGGCTCAGGTAATGATCTCACGTCCATAGGTTCGTGCCCTGCGTTGGGCTCTGTGCTGACAGCTCAGAGCCTGGAGCCTAACTGGTCTGGCAATGTGTAATGCTTGCGCACACCTCTCTACTCACGCTCTGTCTCTGTCTCTCTCTAAAAATAAATAAACCATTTTAAAGTAAAGAAAGTAAAAGAACAAGGAAAAAGAGATCTTAAAATCAAATGAAGAAAATAGATTACTTGCAATGCAGTAATAATTTGAATCGATCCTGGCAGAAATAATGGAAGAAAAATGACAGTGGAGTCATATCAAATGACTGAGGAGGATATACTTGTTAACTTAGAATTCTAAACCTAAAATTCCTTACAAAATTATTGCTTAAAAGTGAGAAGCAAATAAAGACGCTTTCAGACAAACATTGAGAGTATTTGTACTCAGTCTGAAAGAATGTTATTCACAACAGGGAGAGGTGGTTTGAACCCAGGGTGACCAAAAGAGATATAAGAGACCTTGCTCAGAAAATACAAGGGTAAATATGGATCAGTCTAAATGAACATTGATATAAAAAATAACATTAGTTTGATGGGTACAAAAACAGGAGGAACCATAGTAGTAGATAAAATGACATTTAGGAGAAAACAGTGATCAATTAACATGGAAATACATTCAAGATCTCATTAATGATCAGAGAAATTAATATTCCAACAATATTGTATCGCTGCAGCCTACCTGATGGGCCAATATTTAAAAGTTTGATGATACCAAGTATTGGTTAGGATTTAGGGCAGAAAGTGCTTTGGTACATGATGATAAGGATGTTAATTGATTCAGCCATCATAGAGAACAATGCACAGCTTCACAGTCATTAATGGATTTCCAGATATGCATTTTCTAGAACTCAGAGTAGTGAGGAGACACCCATGTAGATGACCATCATGAGACCCCTGAAGTTTGTGAATAAAGAGAAATGACAAAGCTGGGGCATCCGGTTGGCTCAGTCGGTGAAACGTCTGACTCTTGGTTCTGGCTCAGGTCATTATCTGAGTGCAGAGCTTGCTTGGGATTCTTCCCTCTCTCTCTG